GTCAAAATCTCATAGTCTGGGTTCGCCCCCAATACTCTCCCGAGCCTTGCGGTCTATTCTTTGGGGGTCACACTTGGTTCCTTGGGGAGTGCCACCTCCATATCTGTCTGTGGCTAAATGGGAAGGAGATGTTATAATATTTGATGCTCTATCTGGTGCCACATTGCATTCAGTGGCTTGTACATTAAGAGTATTGGCCTGGCTGGCTTACTGCCCACACTCAGTTGGGGTGCGAGTAGGCCCTCCTTTACTCTCAAGCATTGCTATGCATTCATGCTCTCCTCTGAGGCAATGTGCTTGCCTCTCTCTCTCTCTTACCTCCTTCCCATGAAACTGCAGTCAGGTGCTGGGAGGTTTGGCACAACCCACATTAAGGCACACTACAACAAGTAGTGGGCCTCTCTAGGGACGGAGATTCGATGGGAGCTCTCCAAGAGCTGCCGTCCTGGTCCAGCCAATCTCACTCCATATCAGGTAAGCCCTAAAGTGGATTAATTTAATTTTTGGGGGGCAATTATGAGATGGGAGGGGGTAATTAGGGGGTGTGGTCAACTAAGCTTGTGCAAAACTTTTAGGGAAGTAAAAATTATAAAGACTAAGCCTGTTAAAATGAGCTCCTTTGTAGTTTAAAGATAGTTTACATAGTCCAGTACTGCAGCTGCTTCACAGTTTACATAGGTAAACCAAAGTTTACATTACTCCAAAAAATTTTTGGGGGGGCATTGCCCCCCCTGGCCCCCCATAGATCCGCCACTGGGAGTGTGGCATTGCAGACATTCACAAAATATAATTAATTTAAAAATACGAAAAATAATAATAATCCAATTCTGTGAAAACAATAACAACAATTTTTATTAATTTAGTAATAATGATTATACATTAACAGTTATTCCTCTCTCTCTCAAACTATACTTTTCTGAGAAATATTTTTGAGTTATTAGCTATTTTAAAAACAGCTAATTTTCGAAAAATACCCAAAGCTATAGTCTATGGTTTTTTCCAAAACATGGCCCTGAAATCAGTCAAATTACCCATATATTTACGTTTTCAGATACAGATTGATGTACTAAGGCTATGTAACAAGTTTGAGCTCATCCCAACAATTTTTTTCAAGCAACAACCATTGTTAGAAATGGCAATTTTTCAAAAATACACATGGCTATAAATGCCTTTTTAATTTGCAAAAATATTTGTCAGAATTGCCTGAAACTTTCTACACAACATAAGTACATTAATATGTATCAGAAAATGTAATGAAAATGGGGCTATTATTTTTGGGATCATTTTTCACAGGAAACCATATTCTTGTGTATTTTTCAAAAGTTAGCCATTTCAAATAATGCTCATACATGTAACTCTAAAAATATTTTTTGGAATCAGCTCAAACTTTCTACGTGGCATAAGGACATCAATATTGTATCAGAAAATGTAATAAAATTTTGGGTGATTTTGGAGCCATTGTTTGGAACAAACCATGAACTAATTATTTTATCCAAAAATGGCTCCAAAATCACCCTAATTTTTTATTACATTTTCTGATACATATTGATGTACTTGTGCTAAGTTTAAGCTGATTCCAGCTTCAATTATTAAAGTTGCTACCATTTCTTCCAGAAATAGTACCTCCAATATTTACTATCACTTACAGAGTAGCTGTAAGACATGGTCTTCCTTCCTCCAAAAGTAGCGAAGGGGTGGGGCGAGACTAGTCCACCTAGTCAACCTATGAAGAATAGTAAATAAATAAATCATTACTTAATTGTAACTTATGTGAACCATAAAATTCCGAAAATGAGTAAAATCAAACACTCAAGTCGTAAAAATTTATAAAGATCCAATTTTGATCAGAATCAGCTCAAATTCTCAACACAACATAAAAACATGTATACACCCGTACATTATGTATCAGAAAATTATAAAAACATACATTTTCCTCAATTTTATTTTTTGGCAAAATTTGGCCCATGATCCTGCAGAGACTTTGATCCCATTTTTTAACAACTTAAAAAATTTGTAAAAATCTAATTTTGATCAAAATAAGCACAAACTTTCTACACAACATAAGCTTGTGTAGCCAAAACCTGCTTCATTTCCATCATTTAAACGGTTAAAGTGCATCTATACATGCATTAGGAAAGGTATGTTGGTATTAAAAGAGAAAATTCATAAATTTACTTTTTTTCTGGTCCTGGTCACTCATCAGTGTTCTTTATTAATTAATTTTCTTATCAAGCCATGCCCAAAGTCCTTGCCCACGCAGTCCACGTGATACCACGTGTGTAAAATGGTGTCTAACTCATCATAACTCATTGTGTCAAGAAAACTTTTATACCCCAACTAGTTATGATGACGTTACTATCCCTATTGTGTTTTGGGGCCATCATCCTCCAGTACACGATATTACCAGTATGACCAGGTACAGAGCTTTGGATTTTGATACTGACTATTATACTGTGTATTAAATTTAATAGGACAGACTACAGAGGAAGATAAAGGAGGAGCTACTGGTACTGAAACGGGGCAGATTTGTATCTTAAACTTATACAGGAAGAGAATCAACGGAGAATTTGTGGTCATTACTATCACTTAAAATCCTTAATGTATCATTTTATTTCTAATTAATGCCCATATTTTCTAGTTATGTCCAAGACTATTATTACTAGGAATGCAATCTGGAGACAGGGACAGGATTGTCAGTCTTAGTAAAAATGGGTGCGTTGATGTGGTAGGGGTGTTGCTAGTTATTGACGTTATATTAATAGTTACATAGCATTGTGGGATGGTAACGATGGGACGTGTCTTAAGACTGTTAATAATCTTGGAAATGGAATGCATTATGGAATAAAGGTAGTGATAATATTAATGGAGGATTATGTAAATCAGGGTGTCCCACATTAAATTGTGCTTAGTGAGCTAAACAGCATAAACACTATGGAATAGATTTAAAAATTTATTTAAAAAATCTATTGGAGTCAGTTCAAACTTTCTATACAAGATATACATGTAAGTGCATGTATGTGCATCAGAAAAATTATAAAATGGAGAATTCTCTCCTTTTTAATTTTAGCAAAATTTGGCTTGAGAACATGTTATGGTACAGTGACTTTGACCTGGTTTTGAGCAACATACCCATGTCAATTTTGATCACAATCAACTTAAACCTCCCTCCTCTCTCTCTCTCTCTTCCTTTCCCTTTCTATTATTTTAGTCAATAGCGCATCCTGCTATTAAAGAAACCTTGATTGGAGTTTGGGGACAATATCACAATATATTTATACTTGATCCTAATACACTGGAGGTATTATTATTAATTATTGTGTGTTATTGTTTCCATGTGTACTATTATCAAGAGTAGATAATAAGGATTTACAGATTATTATTTATTTGTTTATTTTTGTATTTGCAGTTCATTTGTGCTTTGAAATCCTCTCACAATCCAAACTGGATATCACAACTTATGGAAGGTAATACGGAAGGTAGTGTACATGTACATATAAATCAGGCCTACACTGGTCAATTACAATTGTAACTGTAATTAAAGGCTCAATTAGGATTACATAATAATTGTAATTGAGGCTTAAGTCTGAACTGAATGTAATTGGAATTTTTATCAAAATTGTCTTGTCATAATGTACTGACTACCAACTCAATACAGACGTTGGGAAATTTACCTTACGCATTTAATTATATATTTTATATAGTTATACTTTCTTGTTCTTTACTATCATTAGCTGCAGGTGTGGAGTCTATCATTGGTAAGCTTCATTGAGAGGAAGGTCTGCTGCTCCTGATTTCAAGTCTCATTTCACTGGCTCTCTCTCTGACTCATGGCAGTCCCCAGCCACTTCTTGTTCCCTTATTGACTCAGTTGTCAGTTATCATATTCCTGGGAATACCCAACGATTGCAATCATTACATGCTCAATGTGACATGGCCACAAATTGTCAAATTAAAACCTGCCAATCAATAAAATTCACCAAATTACTCCCTCCAATATTACCAGCCTTACATGTACATGTACAATGTGTTGTACCCTCTTTTTCAACCCTCCATCTCTCTCATCCTTTCTATTATATGATCTTTCTATTCAGAATCTATTTTTATTTTAATGTTTATAAGTGTATGTTAATTTTTTATGTTTTCTCTCCCTCTGTTCCTATCTCTTTCTCTCTCTCCCTCCCTCTCTCTCTTTCCATTAGTATCCCAGTATCAGTGCTGGTCCTTCTTCCAATATTACTGTTTCTTTATTTTTGACACAATTATGGTCCGTTGATCTGTGTATTGTCCAATGGTGGTATTATAGTTCTATCAGGAACTCAAGCAGCTCCCAAACTCTTACTAGCCAAGAGAAAGTTCTCAAAAGGTACTCTGCATACAAATGTGCAATAATTGTATACATGTCCATGTCCATGTATGTACATGCATTCATACATGTACATGTACATTGTAATTACATGCAATATGAATAGGATATTTTTCTGTAGAAATAGTAATACCAAGTGTTTATCATGCCTGTAGTCTACTTATGTACAGTGGTACATGTACATGTACAGTATCACCTCTGTTTTTTCTCTGTGCTTCTGTCTTCTCTCTCTCTCTCCCTCTTTCTCTCCTCTATAGCATGGTCTCAGTATTATTTCTTAAGAGGTCACAAGAGGAGAGTCCCCTCCTGTTGTATCCTGTGACTATAGCACTGCTTATGATACCAATCACTTGTTATCTGGTGGTCCTGATTTCTCTGTTAGATTGTGGGACCTCTTCAAAGGAATATTGTTCCACACTATTGCAGTTCATGGTGGGTGGTCAGTAGCATTGTAGCATGTCCTCCTCATATTAATGTAAGCTTTGCTCTCCCCCTCACTCTTTCTCTCTCTCTTTCTCTCTCACACCAAAGCATTCAATTGCTAATACATGTACATGTACATGTATTTGTAGTACATGTAATACCAACATGTAGTGCCCATTAAGTGTATAGTAATTAATATTCATGTACATGTAATTATTGTCACTGAAATACATGTGTATGTACATTTTCATATATTGACTACTTACATGTGCATGTACATGTATAAGTTACTAATGTGCTGAAAAGTATTGTAAATGTTTTGTGGTTTTCATGTTGCCTTCATTTGCTTACTTTTTTACTTCAATAATGTCATTTACATTTTTTGACAGTTGCACATGTACATGTAAATATCAAGTTTTAAATGCAGTGTACATGTACATGTATATGCACAAATTACATTGTTTCCCTCCTCTCTCTCTCTTTCTCCCTCTAACCATCAGCTCACCTAGACTCCTAGTATCATGCCTTCATGCATGGAACCTTGACAACTCACTGGACAAGTTAGTGTTAGATTGGTACTAATAATCAATGTTTTGAAGAATGATATTATGAATAATGATAATGATGTTTTGTTGTATTGTTGGCATTGTTACTGGGGCCATACATGTATCATCTGTCTTTCTTACTGTTGGAACTTAAGTATTGGCAGTAGTTGAATTTGGCAATTTGCAATTGGTGGATTTTACATGTGTACACATCAGGAGCCCATAAAAAAAGGGAAGGGTAGGAGCGCGCAACACCCACGCATTTAATTAAAATCACTGTAGCCTGCATATCCTAATGAGTTTACTATTTTTAGAACAAGGTAAACCACACTAGTGATGGGCGATATGGCCAATTTTCTTAATTTTTGATAACGATCGATAATGGACTTTTAAAGGAAATATCGATTATTAACGATACGATAACCACACCTTCATTTAGGGGTGTGTCAAGGGTGTGGCTAATGATTTTGGCACTGTACTGGACATGATAGAAGATCATTTCCATGCTCTTGAGCCTTGTTCTCTTCTTATTGAGGTAGGCTGAGCTAACAACTGGTCAGTTGCTTCTTTCTTGCAGTTCAACAGTGCAATTACTTATTAAAATTAGTTATTTAACCTTAATAAATGGGCGTGGTCAATAGATCAATGAAAATTGCATAAAATTTTTGATAATGATTCAAATCGAT